CCCCCCCCCCCCCCGCCCCTTTTCCAAAACTCACCAGCAAGTGCGACACGTACACGGTTGGTTTGCTCCTCTTGTACACCTTGGTCGGGGGCAACGGCCACGACAACGCCAGCTGCCTCGTCTCCTTCAGGGGAATCACCGTCACCCGCCGCCCCAGTTCGGCCGCCCCGAACGCCGGAAACGGCCCGTAGTCCGGCACCGCCGGGGGCTTCGTGTTTCGCACCTCCGAGAAGGCGTCGCGGACCCAGGCCTCGAGGGTGTCCAGGTCCTCGTTGCCTAGTATCGAGAGCTTCATCGCGTCGGCGGAGTAGTACGTCTCGTGGAAATCGATCTACGGAGCCCCCCCCCGCCCCAAATAGGTTGGTTCAACGACAAAGAACGAAAAGCGCAGCGACAGCGCGAATCGGGAAGGAAAGGACACGAGCAAACGATATCATGACCATCATCACCTCTGGCCGCAGTACCATAGAGCGATTCGACGGCAGGCGAATGCTGCGTTTTCCCGAACACTCATCGGCAGTCAGTCGAACAAATGTTGATCCTTGGCTGAGAGCGTGTTTTTGCCTTTTGATCTGGTCTGCTTCTCTTGCACTTCGCAATCTTCGCTTCTTGATATGAACTGGCATTAATTGACCTGTGTGGGGCCGACCGAGAAAAAACGAACCCATGCCCCGTACTCCCCCCACCCCCAACTCCCGCTTGCGCTTCGCGCTTGACGCAATGTCTGACGGGTCGGAGAAAACCTTACCACTGGTCGCGGAAGCCTCGTGCAAGGTTGCACATACCGACACGGCTCGATCATGACCACTCGCACGCCGACGCCGCCCCCCCAAACTCTCCTCCTCGATTCTCTTCATCAAGCCGACTGCCGTAAGAGGGGGAGTGATGACACCCCCCTAGAACGACTTTCAAAGCTCCATTCGTCCAGGACCAAGACATTGCTGTCACCAAAAAGCGGTGGTTTTGGGAGCGCCTCGTCGAGGGATTATCGTAGACGATTCAGGCTCTTTCCGCACCCCCTTTTGGTTGTGAAGAAATCGAGCTTTGAAGTCGATATAGGGGGTGTGTCATCCCTCTCTTCCGCCTCTTGTACAGGTACTCACCAAAGACGCTCTCGTGTCCACGCCCTCCTCCGGTCTCGGCCTCAGCGTTTCGTAGTTTCCCGAGCCAAACTTGGAGAAGGCGTGGGAAGGGTTGGCTGTCGCTTTCAACACCTGCATGTATGCGTGCACGCGTGTCGCCAAAACGTGGCCATGGTTTTCAGGCGGTAGAATGAACGGCAACGATTTTACTGATGGCGTGTTGTTTCGGCCGACACAAACGAACAAAGCCGTGCAGAATTTCAAGCAACACGTGTGACAGTGGGCTGGGGATGAAACATCGTAAAACATGAACTGCATAGAAATGACACGAAAAACGTAGTGGGACATCGCCGATAGCTATGCAGGGCGACAAGTATCAAGGGGGGGAACGACATTGCAACTGTAATACCTAGCTTATGCATGCACACCCCACGTTTCATTACTAGATGTACGCAGGAACAGGAGGGTGCCATGATACTTATGATACTTGGCAGGGGGGGAGAGCGGGCGAACACATCGGTGAGTTAGACGAGAACGGTAGTCAAGACCTTGGCACACAGGGCGCCGCGACCCCCGCCACCGACATCCCACCCCCACACGTACGTCTGTACCTGGTATATTCTCCACGTGTCTTCGTTCTTGTTGTTCGAGTGCTCAGAGTCCACCGCCTGCATCTCTCGCTCGATGGCCGACTCCGCGAAGAGCGGGGTTCGGAAGAACTGCGCGAACCGATCCGTGGCGCCGCGGAGGTGGGAAGATTTGACGTCGAAGTAGTAGTTCGTCGACTCCGTCGCGGTGTACTTTGACGTGTGCAATAGTCCGGCAGATGGAGACGGGTCGAGAGAGCGCCGTCGAAGGGAGGGGAGGGGGGGGGGAGGGGGGCAGCGGTGCCAACCGTGGGGGCAGGGGAGGCAGGGAACGGGAAAGCTTAAAAACATAAGAACATTCTGGAGTAGAGACACTTGCGCGTGTACTATATCAAAGTTGTGTGCGTTCGCGTCGACCCTGCGGGAGGCAGCATTTACGCGATGGCAAATACTAGTGAAGCACAAAGGCTAGATATGTAGGTACGCCGACAGCAGTCATTCGTTCCCGCCGACGTTGAGTCCACACCGGGTATGTTACCCCTTGGTTACACAAAGCTTGTTTGATGTACCTTCCTGGCGCATAGTGGGCACCACAACTTGCGTGTCAAAGCAGCTGCAGTGCCTCGAAGCTGTTGAATCTGCAAAAACCACAGGAGGACTCGATCTCTCTTGAGTCGTGCAGCTCATGAGTACCATGGATGCCTACGGTAGTCCAGCAGTCTTCCTATATTGCATCCCGCTACAGCTTTACTTACCGCGTTCGACGATCCCCCGTGTTGAGTCAAAAAATTCTCGAACTCGCCCTCCTCCGGATATTTCTCCGTCCCCAAGAAGAGCACTGGAGCGCGAGAGAGATCAAACGACGGACCGCGGCAGCGGCGGCGGTTTATGTGGGTTCCTTGGTTGTTGCCACCCCAACGCTCGTCTCGCCCTCACTGAGAGTTTGTCGTTCCATTGCCGCCGCCGTTGATTCTTCAACGCGAATCGTTAGTATGGGGAGGAGGGGGATGCTTCGACAGAGGATCACGGATGTCACACCTCACCTTCACTCGGTGTCAGGTGTCTTCTTTACGAAGCGCAGGCGTTTGGTACAAGCAATGGGGCAATGTGAGCGCGGATGGACCTACCGCGTTTGATGCCGTGCCCGGCTCGGACTCGAACTTGTTTTCCTCCATTTCTGCCAGGTTCTGTGGTAAAACGTTGATTTATTAAGGAAAACGAGCTCCAGAATCCATCTTCCCGATCGTATGCTTACGTATTCTAGGGTGAGTTTCTCGGCATCCGACGCATACGTACAAAAGCGAAACTCACTGTGCTCGTGGAAGTGCGCCATCCCAGCTAGCTCCGGAGGATCCTGCATGTGACCAGCTCGGATGAACATCGATGCGGCCGCTTGCTCAGTGTACGGGTCCGAGACCAAGACCACTTCAAGCCCGTTGGGCAGCACCAGGTATCGGTACTGCCGGGTGTCGCGGTCGGGCTTGATGATGGTGATGCCGTCAGGGTGGACTTGTGGCGGCGCAACGGCAGCGGCAGCTGTCGACGACAGTTGCGTATTGCCTCGCCCGGTGGTGGTCGCACGGCCGCCGCCCCCGCGGTGCCCTCCCGGCGACACAACACTGGCAGCACTCGAAAACAATCGCCGCCCGGTCGTGCTGCCGCCACCTCCCCGCAGTAGTGTGGTCGGTAAGGTGCTGCTGCTACTGCTGCACGTAGCAGTTGTCATGACGGGGAGAGCTAATGATCGTGGCTTCATCACACGCGCGTCAGCAGGTTCAACCAGGTTTCGTTGCCCGTCGTCACCCTCGGCACATCGCGGCAACGTTCCGCTAACGGCCCAGAGAGACAGCGAGCGTTGAAAAGAATAGCGGTTTAGTGAGCTACAAGCTGCACCCCCACTCTTCCTCCCCTGCTGTTGTCCGCACGGCAGTGTCAAGAACCCAGGGCATCGCTTCGCCGCAACGCGCCCGCTCCTCCCCGCCAACGAGGAAACAAGTGCTATGGCCATCCATGGCGAAACATTGAGATTTTTTCGTCCCTTGCGATTGCGTGGCTCGCCCCCCATCTGAGGAGGATGACGCACACGTGCCTTGTGCGAAAAGCACAAGAGTGTGGCGCACGCCCCTGTGCCTGGCGAGTGGCTTGGGGGCATCGCAGATATGAATATGCGGGGTGCAGACGCAGAAAAAAGTACGCGTTGCCTCCCTTCAGCGCTGAACACGAGCAAGGAGCAAACCACAACGCCTAACATACTGCTACGCAGTACGGTGTTGCACGGCTCTTCGCCATACATGGGTACTTCATCTCCAGCGGTCGTGGACGTGTTCCGGTGCATCGAATCAATCGAGGTGAAAGATGTGTACACAGCTGTAAAACAAATTGACGTGCGGTGTCTCCGTTGTCCTGTCTGTCCTCTCACACCCCGCCCACGGGAAGCTCACCCAGCACCGCGCCGACACCAACACCACAACTCAAGCGCCAACTCTGGCATAAAAGACACATTGACGCCCCTCCGTCTCCCCCCCTGCTTCCCCGCGCCGTCCGCTCGAACGACCGCCTCAGAAACGCCGGAGTGAGGTCGGCACCAATGGGAGCGGCGGGAACAGTGCCAAGGATGAGGGTAGGCGAGGCAAGCGCCGTTCGCAGGCAGCCGACAGGGCGCTGCGAGAGCGGTACTACGCCGTGCTGCAAAGAAAGGACAGGTCTTCGCTGTCGGAGAGGATCAAAACCTTGCGAAGGATGGTTCTAGCTCAAGGTGTGTTTGTGGTGATTTGGATGTAGCAGTCACCGTAGTGCTTTGTCCGCGGGCTGGTTGTTGGCGTTGCACTCAGCAGCCGGTGTACACAGCAGCAGCAGGGCGGGGATTCCCACCGAGTTGTACCTGTTTTCTTGTCTTGGACGCGTGTTGCAACACCGAGCACCTTTCAATTGCAGACCTTTGCTCCTTGTGCGTTCGGTTTCGACAAGCTCCACAGCAGTAGTCCTCCCTTGCTGTTGTGGACTCCACCGGACGTTCTACTACCGATGAATACTGACTTAAGTGACAATGGCAGAGCTACGCAACAAGCTGCGTGTCCCACGTTCTCAGCAGCAGTAGTTGCATGTCTGAATTTAATGCTGACCTTCCCCTGCCCCCTCTCTGCCCTTCAGGCCTTCCCGGCGATGTTTTGGAACACTGCACAACCCCGACATCGGGCAGCAGTGGCGCCGAACACCGGAACGGACCGGAGGCGACGACGACCGCCTCGGCAACAACAACAACAACGAGGGCATCGTCGTCACTTAGATCTTCTCCCTCCTCGGCACAACACCAGCGGCAGCAGCAGCAGCCCGGACGGAGGGGAGCGCGGGGCAGCAGCGGCGGCGGCGGCGGAGGGGGCAGCGCCACGAGCGGTGGCGGCGGCTGTGGCGGCTTCACGAGTGGGGGCAGCGGGACGAGCGGTACGGTGTCCGCCCCGACGGACCCGGGGGAGGATCACCAATGCTCCCTTCGCGGCCTGGTGTGGAAGGTCCTCCTAGGCACGATCCACACGGACTCGATGCTCTATATCCGGCTGGTGGCCAAGGGACCGTCCTCCGAGGACGTGAAGATCAGGGAGGACACCTTCCGGACGTTCCCGCGGGACGAGGAGTTCCGAAGGAGGGTGCACGAGGACAAGCTCTCTCGCATCAACAACGCCTACGTGAGGCTGAACCACCCGGACGGCGGGGCACCGGTCGCGGCGACGGCAGCGGCGGATACTGTGAGGCGTGGGTCGGAGGGACAGGGGCGAGAGGGGAGCGGTAGCAAAGACAAGCACGGCGGCGAGGAACAGCCTCCAAAGTCGGAAGACGTGCCTCGATGTTCAAACCCGGCGATTGTGCATAAGGACGGGGCCGGGGCGGAGGCGGGCGGGGCTGCTCCTGCGAGCGGGGGAGCGACCGGGGAAAGGGAGGAGCGAGTAGGGGACGGGGGGAAGGGGTTGTACGTGCAGGGGATGATGGTGCTGTGCGCGCCCCTGCTGTTTGTGATGCCGGAAGTGGACGCGTTCTACTGCTTCAACTCTCTGTTGAATCAGCACATGCCCAGGTGAGAGAATGAAAAAGGCTTTGTTGCTGGGCCGCCTCGTCTGACCGCGCGATTGATCCGACAGCAGTAGCGACGGAGCGCGGGGTTGACGCCTCCTCTTGTAAACATAACCAACCAAGGAAAGTGTAGTAGTGACTCCTGGGGTTTGTGCCGAAGAACAACAAAACATCGCATCAGACCCGGATCAATTTGACGTCCAGCTGGACATTTATTTCAGCTGAGACGAACCAAGCGGTGCGCCAAATGTGAACCGGACCCACCCCCAGAGCGCAAAGCACACCACGGCAGTTTTTGCACCGGCCACCCGTAGCACAGGTACGTGGCGGCAAACCTGGACGGCGTGCACGCCGGCTGCGCCCTGGTGGACCGGGTGCTGAGCATGGTCGACCCCGTGCTGTTCAACTACCTCGAGAGCAAGTTCCTGACGGCGAACATCTACGCCTTCCCGCTGGTGATGAGCCTGCACGCCTGCGTTCCCCCCTTGGAGGAGGCGGTCAAGCTGTGGGACGCGGTGTTTTCGTTCGGCGTGCACCTCGAGGTCCTCGTCTGCGTCGCTCAGGTGCGGTGCTGCTGCGGTTGGTGTTGGTTGCGTGTGGTTTTTGTAGTCGCTCCTGCGGTTGGTGTTGCTGTCGGTGTGTGTCGTCTTTTGTGGTGGTGGTGGTTGTAGCAGTGCCTGTTTCGTGGGGAATATGTTCCGCTGCGGCCGTACTCCGGTCTTCCTTCTCACTCCTCTCGGCAGAACGCGTTTTTCTCCATGTTTTTTTGGGGGGGGAAATGGTTTGGTGTTGTCATGTCCTGTGATGATGGCTGTTGCCGAAGTGGCGCGTCTAGTCTCGGAGGGGTAGTGGTGAATTTGATGCTGTATCCTTCGGGTTGTGACGCGCACGAGTTCATACTTCGCCGATCCGCATTGTAAGACGGAAAACACAAACAAAAAACCAAGAAAGTACCACCCTCTCTTTGTTACCCGCCGCTTCCGCTCTGGCAGTGCGTCTCCCTGCGAGATACCCTGCTGCAAGACCCCAACCCGTACCGACATCTGAACGCGCGCAACCTACCGCCCCTGGACGCGGAGCTGTTGGTCTCGATGGCGTTTTCCCTCATCCCGCACCTACCCTCGGAGATGATGGACGAAATAGCCCAGCACCCGTTCTTGGAGGAGCCGTGGCAGGGGAGCGAAGGAGGTGACAACAAGCGTGGCGGTGGTGGTGGTGGCGGCGGCGGTGGTGGTGGTGGCGGCGGCGGTGGCGGTGCTGGTAGCAGTGGCGGTGATGACGACGACGGCGGCGGCTGCGGCGGATCTTGAGGAGGGGGGCTGAGTTGCTTACCTACGCACGGCGGTCGCGATGATGTTTGCATTTTTACCCTTGGTCTTTAGTATATGTTTTTTCACGTGTTTTTTTGGCGTTCCCTGCAAAAGGAACAAATGAAAGCATGTGTTGTTTCGGTTTGGAAGGAGGTGGAAGTGAGGGAGGGTTTGCGTCCTCGCCGTAGCTGCGGTGTGGCGCCAGAGACGTGCGATTCCCATGGGTGGAAACCATCGCGTCTTGGGGAGGAATGGGCGGGTGATACGGCGTCAAGCTTCATGCAGCGTCGAACCGCTTTCACTGTCTCCGAACACTCAGCAGCAGGGCGTGTGGAGGCCGTACCTTCGCCGCGACGCCCGTTTTTAGGCGGTGCGATTCCTGTGCCGAAACGGCATCAATTCTGTGGAGGTGCGGTACACACGGTGATTTACATGCTTAGTACATGCCGTTGTCCGCTAGTGAACAAGCCGTGCGCGAGTTTGATGATAGATACTGAGTTGTGTGGTTGGTGTACATAGAAACTCTCTTGCGTCTCGTGCTCTCCACAGAGGAGGCACGGGCAAAAACAATCCGTGTTGTTTCCGGCGTGTAGAAAAGTTATAATTAACCCTGTTACAACTACTACAACGGACGTGGGCAGTGTAAACGCGCAAGATCACGCGTGTTGTTGCGCGTCGTGTCATACGCCGCCACCGCGCGTGGGAACAAATGGCCCTCACATTTCGTCGTGCGTGTGGCTTCCGCCGCGCGTGGCCGCTTCAAGTCGTGATGGTCTGATAATGTCCCCCATTCATGCTGTACAGCATTCACGAGTTGTGCAAGAGGCGGGGGTGGGGGCGGGTGGGCGCAGGCGGAATCCTCCACTGATGACCACCATGCAGACTGCAACAAAGTTGTTTTCAGTGCTTCCAACTCTTGTGTAATTTTTCGCCATGGCATCAAGACATGACATCTTATATATATAAATAGTGAGGTAGCGATTGCTTGGAGAGGGCTGTTTTGGAAGCCAGGAAAAAACATGGCGAGCTCCTGCATGACAGAGATTCGCATGATGCAAAAACATCGACCACCTGCGCAAAGCAGCCGGTTCGGATGGAGACCCTTCACTTCGGTAGAACTGCAACACTGAATTACTTGTGTCGCCCACGGTAGCTCTCCTACTGGTGTACACTTCAATCCTGCCCCTTCCCTCATTCCCGATGCCGAAAATAAAAATGTAGTGGAGTTGAATCGTAAATTACCTGAACGGTAAAAAATTACAACCGTCCAACGAAATCCTCGTTTGGGAAACGGATCAAAACTGGTCACGCTATTTAACAGGAACGAGAGCGAAACAACCGAAAGCAAATCTCGAGGGGGAAGAATAGAAGGTGGCCCGCGGCTCTATGGATCTGTCCGGACCATAGTTGCCGTTCGCGCAGTCACAAGGACCAAACACTTTGGAAGCAACACCTGTCCCGGCCCGCTAGGCCAGAGGCTGAATAAGCCTGAACGTCAAGGCCAGCGCTGTTATCGTGCACCGACGTGCAAACATTCTTGCTGTTAGTGCGCTTGTCTTCCGCGGCCCTATCTTATGCCCCACATGTTCGTTTACCTGAGGAGGCGATTGAAAAGTTCGCCACACAAGCTGACCAAAAACACAGTCCCCCTCTTTGCCAAAGAAAAAAAAAATAGGTGAGAAAAGAGGGCTCCCTGCACCCCCCCGTATAGCACGCCTGTTCTCCATCTGGAACACCCGCTGCTCAGGTTCCGCTCTTGCGCTATACACGCGACTCCAGCAGTTACATACAACCCCCCCCCAAACTCTTGACAAGAAATAAAACCGATTCCCACCTCCAGCTCCCCCCCCACTCCGGCTCCCTACTTCATACTGATGCGCTTTGCGCCGGTTTGGGCACCTCGAACCACTCCGGCCGGCTCATGTAGGCCAGCACCGTTAGGACGCCCCACCCCAGCGTCACCACCCCTGTCCAAAAGCTCAGGTTTAAATCGAGCGGAAAATTGAGGAAGCCCACGCTGCGGGCGGTCGCGTCGAACAAACAGGGCGAGGCGAGGATTGGGCAAGGGGGGGGATTTGCGAGGGCGCGCGGTACCAGCACGAGTTAGAATTGGATACCTTAACACCTTCCAGGGCGACAATGGTGAAATGAGGCTCGCTCGTGTGGAAAAACGCGACACGTTGTCACCCCCCCCCCCCGCTCGGAACGGACACGCCGCCAAAGGGATATCCAGATATTCATACACATGTCCCATTTCCCCCCCCC